TTCTTGCTCATTTCCCTCACTCTTGAGCTGAGAATGTCACCTCCACCTTTATAGAGAAGACAGAAACTTAGGCATAAACTCACCCACCTTCCTTCACCTTCCCTTTCCCCCAATTACATGAGTCCCCATTCTTTGTCATCCTGTTGTCTATAGCTCGTCCCTTGAAAGTGGTGTCCACTACTTCCCTGGATGAGGGTTCATTCTTTAGGTTCTGTTTCATAACACCTTGTTTGTGTATTAACTTCTCATCATACGTCCTGTTACTAAAAATCCTATACTATCAGTTTTTGAGTTTTTATTAGGTGTCACAATCAGTTAATCCCACTATTTGCACATGGCAGTCATATTTCCAGTTTATAGTTGAGGAAACTTAGGCTCTTACGATGTTTCTGACAACTGCTCATTATTACGGTTCTAGCAGACATCTTCTATCTACCTTATCTCTTCCCTTTTACAAAAGAGGAGAAAACTGAAGCCCAAAGAGAGCATTGTCACCACCTATGTGGAGCTAGAATTCTTATTCCTTGTGTACTGTTTAGCATGATCTCATTTAAATATAATAGAAAATAAGGGAAAACTATGATACACTGTTTATTAAGCAGGCTTACCTGCCTGGGATATAAATATCCACTGTTTTTTCTCCTTTTTATGCCACCATGAGCACTCAGGAGCACTCTTGATATCAGAGCAGTAGGAGGATCTTAGTGATGTTGATCCAAATTCATAACTTTTCACTTGCTTCTTCTTCTTTTTTTTTTTTTTTTTTTTGAGACAAGATCTCATTATGTTACCCAAACTGGAATACAGTGGCACTACAGCTCACTGCAGCCTCGACCTCCCAGGCTCAGGTGATCTTGACACCTAAACCTCCCAAGTAGCTGGGACTACAAACGTATGACAGTACACCCAACTAATTTTTCATACGTTTTTGTAGAGACAGGATTTTGCTGTGTTACTCAGGCTGGTCTTGAATGTCTAAACTCAAAGGATCCACCCACGTTGGCCTCCTAAACTGCTGGAATTACGTGTGTGAGCCTGACTTCCTTCTGGTTATTAAGAGCAGACTTGTTCTACTTCTTAGTCTGATGTTGTTTCTGTCCGAATGTTTTTTTCTGACAGAACTGCCCATTCATGCTGCTGTTTGATTCTTGGGATATATTCTAATGATGGGTAGATTCACTTCTCCTAACCATCTTCCTTATGAGCAGCCATTATTCTGCTCTGCCAGTAAATTAATTGACTCACGATTCTGCGTGTTGCGTCTTGTTGTGGATACAGACTATAGTCTGAAAGCTCCTCAGAAGTCGATGATTGTGTTTGCTTCTGCTGGGGGATGGGTGTTTGTCCTCAGCTTGTTTGCAACACCACATTTCCTCAAAGGAAATATATTAACTAACAGCTGTCTTTAAGCCAATGTAAGAATCTTGATTCAAGAAACAAACCTACTAGTCAAACTATTTCTAGGCTTTCTCCCTTTCTTTGTCCTGAAGGTGCCACTGTTCTCTCTTTGACTGTCTTGAACTCATTTCTCTCGCCAACACACATTATTTTGTCTCCTTTATTCTTCCAATAGGCAGTTTTTTTTTTTTTTTTTGTCTACTAACTTTTCTTATCACACATCCCTGTTGACAGCCTCAAGCAATTTGTTGGATACCCTTGACTTGAGGACCATCAAAATGTCACTCTTTTGGGTTGGCAGAAGAAATGTCCAGAAGCATATTTTCCATAAATGATAGTGACTAGTGCCAAGTACTTGCTTCATGTTGTCTTATTCAGTTCTCAACGGGGACTTTATAAAGTAAGTGGGATTATTCCCATTTAAGGAAACTGATGTAACTGAGGTGCAGAGAGACGAGAGTGACTTTCCCAGAGGCACGCAGCTAATGAATGGTAAAACTAGTAGATCGGTCAGTTCCTGAAATCCATGTTTTCCAGTAGGATCCCAAGTTAATGGGGAGATAAAAATTAGTCCCCTTACCTTTACTGGTTAAAGCAAGAGTAAGGGGCAGACCTTGTCTTTTATTTCTGTAGGGTAGGAGTGTATTGTGGGTCTCACTGAATTTAAAAAAGTTGTCAGCAAGGCTGTATTCCTTTCTGGAGACTTAGGGGATAATCAATTTCCCTGCCCTTTGCCACTCACATTCCTTGGCTTATTGCTCTCATTCATCTACTCAGCTTGAAGAAGCTGAGTAATTTGCCCAAGACCACCCAAAAATTCATTCAAATCCAGGGGCAAAACTACATTTCCTGTGTTTTCTCCATGTCACTCAGAAAACTCAGCATGAGGGAGAAATATGATTCCGAATATAGAAGAGCCGTTTTGGCTGGAACTTGGAAGGCAACAGGCAGGCTCGATTGGGCAACAGTCCCCACTTTGTGGGGTGTGACCAGCAGGCTTATTCCAGGCTTCTTGCTAAGTTGTAAAACTTCTGATTTCTCTGATAGACACCTTCAGAAAGAGGACTGGTGGGGTGCTATTAAAATTATACACATTTCATTTTAGAATTTCTTTTGAGAGCATAATCCACTGTCCTCAACTGTGATTATAAACCCCGTTGCTCTTGGTCAGAATTTCATTCAGCATTAACAGTGCCTCATCATGTTATGCTGTGCAGACATGTTGCTATTTGTAGGAATTTAAGTTTAGATCATTAAACGTTTCAACACTGAATATGTTGACACTTAAGTTGACGCAGAGGACCACAAACAGGTGGGCAAACTCTAAGAGGTGTTTCTCATCTGTACCTTCCCTTCTAGTATCTTGATAGTAGAGCCCAAAAACGATTTAAGGCCTTCCGTCTTCCCCAGGGCTACTCTCTTTGCTTGCCTCTTACAAGATTGAGTGTTGTGAGAATCCATTCGGTGCTGACTCCAATTCTGCCCCTATCCCAGACTCACAATTGTGAGCTGCAATGGGATATCTGGACGTCTTGGTTGATATAATCTTCCTAACACCCTGGTAAAATAGATGGGTGAATACTACGTTTAATGATTGGGAAATGAAGAGTCAAAAAGGATAATCTGGTATAAGTCACAGAGCTAGTAGTTGGGGAGCTTTGTTGAGAAAGAAAATTGCAAAATGTTCCACCTGTGAGAGGAAGTTAAGACTGTAGTTAATAAGTATCATGTGCATATTAATGTTGCATGAAGCTTAACATAAGTACATGTTATTCTTTTTTTTTTTTTTTTTTTTTTTTGAGACAGAGTTTCACTCTTGTTACCGAGGTTGGAGTGCAATGGTGCGATCTCGGCTCACCGCAACCTCCGCCTCCTGGGTTCAAGCAATTCTCCTGCCTCAGCCTCCTGAGTAACTGGGATTACAGGCACGGTGCCACCATGCCCAGCTAATTTTTTGTATTTTTAGTAGAGACGGGGTTTCACCATGTTGACCAGGATGGTCTCGATCTCTCGACCTCGTGATCCACCCGCCTCGGCCTCCCAAAGTGCTGTACATGTTATTCTTAAGGTTAAAAAGTTCAAAGCAAAGGTGGCGGGTGGGGGGGAGGTTCCAAGGCAAATGGGTGGGGATAGACAGGAGATAGGCAGAGGTAGATGAGATGCAGGCATTATGGTGTGGAAGTTAGTTGGAGTATAGCCACTGGAGGCTTCTGTGGCCCTGTTTTGATTTTATATCACAGTTGTAAGTAGGGATGTTGCTAATGCTTGACTCATCAAAGGCTGAAACAAAGCCAGAGCTGAAGTTGAGTATGTGGCATTGTTTTATTGGTTAATCTTTCAAAAAGAGAAAAGCCTCTGTTTATACAGGCTCAAACAGTCATTTGACCTGTTCTTCAACTCCATCTGGAATTGCTTTGGGGTTAACTTAGCATTTCCCCTAAAGCACATATGACAGGGTTGGGAGAAGCTTGGATGGGGTTTTCATTCCTCTAGAACGCTGAAGCCTTATCTCAGAGTGAGGTGGCTTCAGTGCCACTGTTTAATATGTCGTGGACTGGAAGTAACAGGTTAATTTCGGCGAGTAGACATGCCAGCTGTGTAAACGGAGCCAGTGAAACTGTTTCTCAGTGCTGTCTCCCACCCCTGGAAGAGGACATCATGTTATCTACCTGCCCCTGTTGGCTTCCTTTGACCCTTATCTCCCATGCTGTCCCCTCTTCCCTGTGTTACTCATCAGTTCAAATTTGGAATAATTGAATGCATAGAGAAAGTGGCTTGTTCTGAAAACTTCTAGCAAGAAATTTCTAGGTGACTTGGTGCTAGATTAACTTCAGCCTCTCTTATGGATTCAAGTGTTTTGTCATAAAACTTGAACTAAGATACTTTAGAATTAATTACAGCTAGGAGAGAAAAAATTTAAGAAGCAAACAGAAAGATTCCTAAATATGGAGCAGGACAAGTGGCTATTTCAGTGGGTCACTGGCATTAAAAAATATAGTTGGGGATACATGCAAGAATTACTTTTAGAAATATGATAATTAAATGCAAGGTAAGTACCTTGTTTGGACTCTGAAACTAACAAAACAACTGTTTTAAGACATTGGGGAAACTTGCATCTGCTCTGAGTCAAAGCCTGGGGTTTGTGTCGGTGAAAAAGCTAACAGGAAGCAAGTTCAACAAAATTTCAGAAACTGTTGCAATCTGGGTGATGTGTATGTGGTGATATGTATATGTTCACTACATGGTTTTCCACATCTGTGATGATGAAACATTTTCTTATTGACTTCTTAAGTGTTTTACCTGCCGTTCTGAGCCCAGAGTTGAGTTGTACCTGCAGTCCAACATGGTTACTGCATCACGGCTGCCAGACCACAGACACTAATTCTTGTTGAGTGGTGTGTTGCTGCCAGCTCAGGGCCAGAAAAGCTGAATATCACCCTGAAGCTTTTATAAACCAGTTGTCTTCAGCTTACCCAGAGCAATTGAGTCTGGAGTAAAGACCAAAAGATTGACTTAGATAAAGTTGACTCACTAGCCCTTGGAAGACGGAAAGATGGCCTTAAAATAAAACAAACAAAAACTTTTTTTGCTTAATTTTGTAGGACCACTGTGAGACCACAGTCCTTCTATGATGGAAGTCATTCTTGTGCCAGAGGAGTGTGCCATATTCCAATGGCCGAGCCGTTTTGCCCCAAAACGAGAGAGGTATGTAGTCTTTCTAGAAGGTGTACCAGAAAAAATCACATGGACTTGGGGTGGCATCTGGCATTTGGTTAACTGGCAGAGCAGGTGGCCCCATACCCTCACTCAAGTTTGCTTTATGTTATGCAAAGTCTTATGAAGAGTTATTTCCTCTTGCTAATAATGCTCTGTTACTCTCATTCATTTTAAACAGAACCACTCAAAGTTACAACCTTCCTTTTTAATAAGCTTTGATTTTGCTGTCTGGATACCTTAATGATTTAACATAGAATATCACATTACTCAAGAGTATACAGTCTGGAGACAGATTACTTGGGATCAAATCTCTGTTCTTCAACAAAGTAGCTGTGTCCAAGAGGACAAATTATTTGACATCTGTGCATTTCAATTATCTTATTGTAAAATGAAGATAATGATAGCATGTACCTTATAAGACTGTGTGAGGGATGAGAAAGTTAATGCTTAATGAAGTCTCTGAACCATGCCTTTCAGTTATGGAACATCCAATGGCTGGTGACTGCTTTGATGAATTAAATTACTATTACTGATCATCTAAAAATGGTCAGATTGGCAACTGTTGCCTTCGTGCTTAGTTTGGCCATTACTACCCAGCCTTCTGTCTACTGTTATAGCCAAATCACAGAACTGTGGGGAAAGCCCCACAAAAGCCAGTGGTGGTATAAGGTGTGGAATCACAGCATTAGTTCCCAAGGAACAAAAATGGCTACCATGGCTAAGAAGTCTGTGGCTTGGTCCACGTGTGCTACTTCTCTTACAATCCCAGATTTGAAAGTCATATGCAACTCGAAAGATCAGAAGTGTTTTTAGAGATGAACTGCCTCATAAGATCTGCCTTATAAGTTGACTTAGAGAATATAAATCCCTAAACATGTTAATCATTCAGATAATGTTAACACCTGCATATAGAGAGTAGGTGATTTCTTTAAGCATTTATGTTTTATGCTACATAATCACAGAAAGCCCGTTTCCTTAAAGTTAACAGCGAGGACACCTACACCGAGAACACAGGGATGGGATAAATATATCTAGTCTCAAACGAGAATTTGGAATCTAAAACCGAGTATTGGGGGAAGCCATTTCACGTTTACCACTGCACACTGATTCTCTCTGACTTTAGGAAAGTACATTTTTTGCTTTTTTTTTAAATTTCAGTGCCAGGTGAAGTTTGTGTATGTATGTATAGCATGTTTCTGGATAGTTATCCACAGAATGTATCAGAAAGCTACTAGTCTTACCTCTGAAACACAGATCTGCCCACATAATTTGCTATCCTGGGGAAATAAAATATGGATAAAATTCTTGTCTACTTCAAAATGGGGACACCTTGGGAAGAAATAGTCTAAGGAGAGAATATGCATGCTGGTATGAATCTGAGGTCAGTTATCAGGCAAAATACAGTGACTTGGGGAACTAGTATTAGAAGTAGGTGGGGGAAGCACAAAGAAGCTATATAGAGCACATGCAAATGTGGGTCTGACGTGATAATTTTCAATAATACAAGTGAGCCTCCCTCGAAGCCAAATTAATTCAGCTAAAAGACCCTACATAAAGACTGAGAGAATGCTGGGGAAGGCAATTTAAGAAAAAGGCAAAAATAAGCCTTCAGAAAGAGATTTGCAAATATTGTCTGAAAACCTGAAGAGTAAATGGTGCTGCCACTTGGGAATTTTCGCTTTTAACATCCACATGATCTTTCATGTACTGACGGAATAGGACCATCATGATGAATTGTCAGGTGGCAAGCAAGATACTCAGTTGTTGTACCATATTCTACCATTTATGTTAAAAGTGTATATATACAAAAAAGTAAATATGTAAATATATGCAAATAAAATATCTTTGGAAAGTTAACCAAAAAACTGGTAACAGGAAATAGGGAAGATGGCAGATAAGAGACAGGGCTAACATGCAGCTCCCACATGGACAGACAGAACAGCATATCGAGACACTGTGATATTTTGCTCCAAGAACCACTGTAGGAACTTACCAGGAAAACCAAAAGAATTCAAAGATCCTTTGAAAGAAGTGGCATACCACTGCAAATTCAGCAAAACAGGCAAAAGGAACCCTCAAAACTACAAATACATAAAAATTAAAGCTCCTAAATGATCTTTGGGTCAACAATAAAATTAGATGGAAATTAAAATTTTTTTTTGAGCTAATGATTATAGTGACAATTTATCAAAACCTCCGGGATACAGAAAAAGTGCTAATGGGAGAGTTCATAGCATTAAATGCCTGCATGAAAACGTCTAGAAGAGGACAAATAGACAACCTAAGGTCACACCTCAAGGAACTAGACAAACAAGAACAAACCAAACCCAAACCTAGCAGAAGAAAAGAAACAACGGAGATCAGAGCAGAACTAAATGAAACTGAAACAAGAAAATACAAAAAAAAAATGAAACAAAAGCTGATTATTTGAAAAGATAAAATTGATAAACCATCATGAGATTAACCAAGAAAATAAGAGACAAGATCCAAATAAGCTCAATTAGAAATGAAACGAAAGATACTACAACCAATACCCACAGAATACAAAAGACTATTCAAGAATACTATGAACGCCTTTATGCACACAAACTAGAAAATCTAGAGGAGATGGGTAAATTCTTGGAAATACGCAACTGTCCCTGATTAAATCGGGAAGAAATGGAAACCCCAAACAGACCACTAACAAGTAGCAAGATTGAAACAGTAATTTTAAAAAATTGCCAACAACAAGAAAAAAAATTCAAGACCAGATGGATTCACAGCTAAATTCTATCAGACATTCAAAGAACTGGTACCAGTCTTACTGAAACTTCCAAAAGAGAGAGAAAGCAAGAATTCTTCCTAAATCTTTCTATGAAGCCAGTATCCCCCTAATTCCAAAACCAGAAAGGAACATAACACAAAAAGAAAGCACAGGCCAATATCCCTGATATACATAGATGCAGAAACACTTAACAAATTACTAACCAAATTCAACAGCCTATCAAGCTGATACACCATGATCAAGTGGGTTTCATACCAAAGATGAAGTTATAGTTTAATGTAGGCAAGTCAGTAAATGTGATACATCATATAAACAGAATTTGAAACAAAAGTTATATGGTTATCTCAGTAGATAGAAAAAAAGCTTTTGAATTTGACACAATCCTGCATCTAGTTATAATTAAAACCCTCAGCAAAATTGGCATAGAACAGACATACCTCAAAGTAATAAAAGTCATCTATGACAAACCCACAGCCAAAGCAGTGGGGAAAGGACACCCTGTTTAACAAATGATGCATGATAATTGGCAACCCAGATGTAGATGAAAAATGAAATGGGATCTTCATCTCTTACATTATATAAAAATAAGCAAGGTACCACCTTAGTCCTACAGAATGGCCATAATTAAAAAATAAAATATAAAATAGATGTTGGTGTAGTTGTGAAAAGGGAACACTTTTACACTACTGGTGTGTAAATGTAAAGTAGTACAATGGAAAACTGTATAGCAATTCTTTACAGAACTGTCATGTGATCCAGCTATCCCACTCCTGGGGGTCTACCCAGAGGAAAAGAAGTCATATGAAAAAGACACTTGCATATGCATGTTTGTAGCAGGACAACTTACAATTGTAAAAACTATGGGACCAACCTAAATGCCCATCGACCAATGAGTGGATAAAGAAAATGTGGTATATATACATCATGGTCGATGGTTAATACTGAATGTCAGCTTGATTTGATTGAAGGATGCGAAGTATCAATTCTGGGTGTGTCTGTGAGGGTGTTGTCAAAGGAGATTAACATTTGAGTGAATGGGCTGGGAAAGGCAGACCCACCTTTAATCTGGGTGGACACAGTCTAATCAATTGCCAGCATGGCTAGAATATAAGTAGGCAGAAAAATGTGAAAAGAAAGACTGGCCTAGCCTCCCAGCCTACATCTTTCTCCCGTGCTGGATGCTCTCTGCCCTCGAACACTGGACTCCACATTCTTCAGTTTTGGAACTCAGTCTGGTTCTTTTTGCTCCTCAGCCTGCAGATGGTGTATTGTGGGACCTTGTGATCATGTGAGTTAATATTTAATAAACTCCCCTTTATATATCTATTCCACTAGTTCTGTCCCTCTACAGAACTCTAATACAGATTTTTGTGCCAAGAGTGATTCTAAAGGAACAGAATATTAAGAATGGAGTTCTTTTGTTGGTTTGGGGGCTGGAGTTGGCTGCTTAATATGATTAGACCCAAAGATGCCAAGGCCTCTACTTCTAATAGTATACAGAACATTGATAGTCCTTGGCATGAACTGTTTAGAGAGTTATGCAGAATAAATGCATTTGATACTCCTGATTCATCATTCGTGAGAGGCAAGTACTCTACATGATACCTTTGACCATATATGGGGTTACCTTTATTGACTCTGTACATAATACCTTTGACCATATGTAAAGAACCAAGGAACAGAATGAAGCTGGTTGGTTGCTCCTAAGTTCAGTGGACAAAGTAATGAAAGAAAATACTGAACTCAGGAATTCTGCCTTCCAGTTTCAGAAGCAGATACTGAACCTCAAATATGCTAAGATTGTGCTGAATGAATGTCTTATCTCCTCTAGAGAAAGAGCTGAAATTGTGGAAAAGTGAGTGGCTGACCTGCAATGAAAGGTATATGCACAGCCTCGTCACGTGTCTACTGTTAAACTGAGAGTTGATTGAAAACAAATGAGACCCTGCAACTTGGAAGTGGGATGTGTGGGAGGACCCTGATGAAGCTGGGGTCACTGAGTTTGTAAACTCTGATGAACTTTTTTTTTGCCAGAAGAAACAGCTTTCCCATCTCCAGAAGTGGCATCATCCTCTCCCTGACCTATGGTGCTATCAACCTTTTCACCTTTGTCTGAGGAGATACACCCTGCACTGCCTGAGGTAACAGTGATGGCCTCCCTTGAGGCAGTTGCCAGGCAAGATAATGTTGATTCTTCCCAGGAGCCACCCCCAAGACCCCTAGTTGCTTCTAGACCTATAACTAAAGTCCCCATAGGCCCCTAGAGGTGAGTTTGAGCTTGTGACCCATAAGGAGGTATGCTACACTCAGAACCACTTGGGTTTTCCAATTTATGTAAACAGAAATCTGGAGAACAGGCATGGGAATGGATACCAAGGGTGTGGGATAATGGTGGAAGGAACATGAAGTTGGATCAGGCTGAATTTATTGATTTGGGCTTACTAAGTACAGACTCTGCATTTAATGTTGCAGCTCTGGGAGCTGGAAAAAATAGTTTACTTGCTTGGTTAGCTGATTAAAAGATGGCCTACTGTGAACAAGCTGGAAATGTCTGTTCTACCTTGGCTTAACTTAGAGGATGGTATCCAAAGGCTTATAGAAATTGGGATGGTGAAATGGATTTGTCACTTTAGACCTACTCACCCCTGCTGGGAGGGTCCAGAAGATACACCCTTGGCCAATGCCTTGCAAAATGGATTTGTGAGGATAGCATCTGCATCTTTGAAGAGCCCTGTAATTGCTCTTCTCTGCATGTCGTATCTAACTTTGGGAACCACAGTCACTCAACTACAAAATTTAAATGCAGTAGGAATAAGTGTATTCCAAGGTAGCAGGGGCCATGTGGCGGCACTCAACCGTCAAAGACAAGGTGGGCATAGCTACTGTAATGGACAGCAGAGGGAAAATGGCAATCAGAATAGTCTGACTCATGTAAAGCTCTGACATTGGCTAATTAATCACAGCATTCCTAGAAGTAAAATAGATAGGAAGCCTACTTATTTTTTTTAAGCATTCCAACTTAATTTATACAAGTGGAAAACTTCTAGGTCATATGGACAAAAGACTAATTTGAATGATGAAAACAGAATCACAGCCCCTCAACCAGTTTCTAGACTTGAGCCAGTTTACAGATCCAGAATGCCTTGAATGAAGTGGGGGCTGGGTTCCCTTGAGGAAAGACCCCACTATATTACTTACAGTTTATACTGTGAGTATTTCTCCAATCCTTCCCCAAGGAAACCTCCAGCCTTTTACCAGAGTAACTGTGCATTGGGGAAAGGGAAATAATCAGGCACTTCAGGGACTACTGGACACTGGCTCTGAGCTGATGTTGATTCCAAGGAACACAAAACATGATTATGGTCCTCCAATTAAAGTAGGGGCTTATAGAGGTCAGGTGATTAATTAATGGAGTTTTAACTCAGGTCTGACTTACAGTAGGTCCTGTGGGTACCTGGACTCATCCTGTGGTCATTTCCCCAGTGTCAAAATGCATAACTGGCATAGACATACTTAGCAGCTGGCGGAACTCCCACATTGGTGACTGGTAGAGTGAGCGCTATTATGGTGGGAAAGGCCAAATGGAAGTCATTAGAGCTGTCTCTACCTAGAAAAGTAGTAAATCAAAAACAATATTGCATCCCTGGAGGGTTTGCAGTGATTAGTGCTACTCTCAAGGACTTGAAATATGCAAGGATGGTGATTCCCACCACATCCCCATTTAGCTCTCCCATTTGGGTCATACAGAAGACAGGTGGATCTTGGAATATGACCATGGATTGTCATAGCCTAACCAGGTGGTGACTCCAGTCGCAGCTGTTGTACCAGATGTGGGTTCATTGCTTGAGCAAATTAACACATCTTCTGATACCTGGTAAGCAGCCATTGACTTAGCATATCTTTTTTTCTCCATTTGTGTCCATAAGGCTCACCAGAAGCAATTTGCCTTCAGCTGGCAGGGCCAGCAATGTACCTTTACTGTCCTACCTCAAGGGTATATCAACTCTCCAGCTTTATGTCATAATCTTACTCAGAGAGACCTTGATCGCTTTTTGCTTCTGCAAGATATTATACTGGTCCATTACATTGATGACAGTATGCTGATCAGATCCAGTGAGCAAGAAGTAGCAAACACAATGGACTTATTAGCGAGAAATTTGTGTGCCAGAGGATGGGAAATAAATCTGACTAAAATTCAGGGACCTTCTACATTTTTAGGGGGTCCAGTGGTGTGGGGCCTGTCGAGATACTCCTTCTAAGGTGAAGGATAAGTTGCTGCATTTGGCTCCTCCTGCAACCAAGAAAGAGGCACAATGCCTGTTGGTCCTATTTGGATTTCAGAGGCAACACATTTCTCATTTGGGTGTGTTACTTTATTCCATCTATCAAGTGACCCAATAGGCTGCCAGTTTTGAATGGAGTCCAGAACAGGAGAAGGCTCTGCAGTATTTCCAGGCTGCTGTGCAAACTGCTGTGCCATTTGGGCCATATGACCCAGCAGATCCAATGGTACTTGACTAATATAATGGAATACTCTCAGCTATAAAAAGGGAAAAAAATAATGGCATTGCAGCCACCTAGATGGAGTTGGAGACCATTTTTCTCAGTGAAGTAGCTCAGGAATGAAAAACCAAATGTTCCCATTTGTACGTGGGAGCTAAGCTATGGAGATGCAAAGGCCTAAGAATGAACTACATACAAAGGCAGTATAATGGACTTTGGGGCCACAGGGGGAAGTAAGAGAGGAGGGTCAGGGATAAAAGACTACACATTGGGTGCAGTGTATACTTCCTGGGTGACCACTGCATCAAAATATCAGAAATCACACTAAAGAGCTTACACATATCACAATAAACACCTGCTCCCCAAAAACTATTGAAATGAAAAAAAGGCTAGTGATAGTGGTTTCCCTTGGGAAGGGACAGTGGTTTTATTACTTAAAGTTTTGTACCATGTACAAACATGTGTTCCAAAAGCAGTGTTACTTCTATTCATTAGTCCTGACATTAAATCTATTTAGTCTGGTGATCTAATATTGCCAGTTCCTTGGTGAGGGTTGTGGTAGTTTCAATATCACATCTGTCTAGTAGTTCACAGCACTTACATGAAATAAGAAAATGAAGTCATTTTAACCCCAGACCTGGACCTTGACCCTGTATTTAGTATTTTTTTGCTATCTTAAGATAATGTTCTTGAGGGAGTGCAACATGCTAGTTCAAGTGGCCAACGCATATTCATAGCTTCCATTTCTTCCTCCTCCTCACAAGCGTGGTTCCTATCTCCCAAAGTGCCAGAGTGATGGTGAGGATTTGTCAAGGGCCATTCATCTCTAGAAGCACTCTGAACTTTAGCCAAGGCTTACAGCTCAGTTATTCAAGATCTTTAAAGACATTATTGAACCAGCAGGAGTGGGCTTCGTATGTCTTAACTTTGGGGAAAAAAAGAGGAGGTAGAGATTTCGGCTTTTGCATTTATAACAAATTTTTTAGGAAAAAGTGTTAGGTAAGCATAATTTTATTTTCAGCATTTGTAAGATAAACGTGATGTAGCATCAACTGTTCATTGTCCATAGCTTGCTAAATTTTGAGTTGCAAGGCTCTTGTTAAAATTCTGTTTCCCATTGCAGTGGTACAGTGTAAGTTATTTTTTAAGGAAATAGGTTAATTTGTTTATGTGATGAACACATGTGCAGGTAAGACTTTGCCTAGATTGGAGACTTTTACTTTGAGTCGCTCCACTTTATTTATATAGTGTCCCCGTAACCTTAGCCAACTATGTGTAGAAGCTGCCAGTATTAATAATCGTTAGAAGACCAGCTTAGCATTTGTGCATACGGTGTTTACAGCATACTTGGCATGCTTCTGTGCTGATATATACCTTAGTTCATTTACTATTCCTCATAAGTTTGAGTTATGCATTACCACTCTTCTCAGTTTACACTTGAGAAAACTAAGGCATACAGAGATTATTTTTTAACAGTGCTTCAGTAAGTCAACAGTTAAGTTGAAAAGACTATTTTTTTAATTAAAGGGGTACATTGAAGCATAAGCTAAGAAAAAGTGAAGTTAACTTGAAGATTAGATGTACAGTATTAAATAAAATACTGGAGAAAATGATCAAACTTTTTAATGATGTTTCTAAAAATCCATGCCTAGCCTTGCCACTAAAGGAATTCCAAGATGTTTATCCCTGAACAGAAAAACATTAGCACAAATCTGTGGAAAGGCAATAGGCAAAAAAGAAATCACTTTCTAACCAGAAAAAGCTTTTTTGAAAGTCTTCAGATTCTGTAGTTATAAAAGTAATGAGAATTAACTTACCAGAAGCCTGGAAATAGAACTCAACACACCTGTTTGAGAAGATGAGCGATGACAGACACCTTAGCTTAGCCTGCAAGGCTAAGGCTAAGACTCAAGTCTGTATTCTCAAACCACTTAGTCTCTTAAAGTTGTTAAGAAGCAAATGAGATTAAAGCATATAGACAAATGCCTGGTGAGCAGAAGGAGCTCAGGGCTTGCTTGTGTAGCTATTAGTTTCTATGTGCAAAGGGCTAGGGGAACAGGATTATGTAAATGAGAAAGGGTCCAGGAAACACCCTTCTGTGGCCTTCTAGGTTTTCTTCTGAGAGGCTGGCAGATACTAGGCATTCATTATAGTGACAGATCATCTTTAAGAAATTAACTTGTTAAACATTGGAGCAAAATGCAGCCTTAAGTTGTACATATACTTGTATGTTTTGAAGTTTCTGGTTTTTCTTTTCTAGGTTCTTATAGAGACTGCTAAGAAGCTAGGACTCCGGTGCCACTCAAAGGGGACAATGGTCACAATTGAGGGACCTCGTTTTAGCTCGAGGGCAGAAAGCTTCATGTTCCGCACCTGGGGGGCAGATGTTATCAACATGACTACAGTTCCAGAGGTGGTTCTTGCTAAGGAGGCTGGAATTTGTTATGCAAGTATTGCCATGGCGACAGATTATGACTGCTGGAAGGAGCACGAGGAAGCAGTAAGTAGAATTCTGAGCACATGTGGTGTGGGTTTCTGGGTGCCAATAAGAGGGCGTCTTAACTGTTAATATTTCTTTTACACTAGTTTCCAAAAGTGCCTTTCTATAAGGTTTGGAAGTTGCCAATATTTTCTATAGGTCCCATTGGAAGGTAAGAACAAAGATCATAGGAAAGAAAGAGATGCTTTTACCTAAGGATCAACAATGAGTAGTACATTGTAGGCATGTAGATGTGTTGGGAATCATACTGAGACTTGGGCCTTATCTTAAGGATAAAGGTATATTTTGATTGCCAGTTTCTTCTGCTATACCACTGGTTTTTGTTTTCAAGAACGCTTTCCTGGTGAGAGGGCCGTATGTTCACACCCATCTATTTAACCTACCATGGCTGGATACTGTGTTCAGCATAGAAATGTGACAGCAAACAGACAAGTCCTTAAGGAGCCAACGTTCTGTTACGGGAGACAGAAGTCAAGTAAACCAATATAAGAAAGCTAATGGTTATAAAGAAACAGAATGATGAGGTACAAGGGTACCTATTGAGTTGACCAGACCAAATATTTGAAGTATGGGAAGCCTTCCTGTTTTAAGTGTGATGGACAAAAAGGGCATGATTGAGTAAAGTGGAAAGGAAGGAGATGGGAGAAGGGAGAGAGAGCAGGGATGCAATACAGCAGAGCCAGGCCATATAGACTGTGTTAAGGGTTTCAAATGGAAGGTCAGTTAGGGGTTCAGGCAGCGAAGGCAGCAGGATCCAGCTGGAATTTGAGGACACTGGAAAAATGAGGTCAGCTTCCAAAACAAATACTTTCCTTGTGGAAATGTTTAAACATCTACGTAAGTACAGGGTGGAGTCTAATGAATTCCAGGTACCCATCACCCAGGTTCCACAATTAGCCATGGCCAGTCTTGTGTCATATGTATGTCCTTACCTACTTCTGTCTCCCTGGCCCTCGTCTTGAAGTTAATATTTTCCTAAAGGGTCTTTTTAAAAATTAAATTATAACCATACCATCATTGTACAAAAATAGTGATATTAATTTCTTAATATAATCAAATGTTTAACTATTGATTTTTCCTTCAGTCTCATAATTTTTAACAGTTTGATCAAATCAGAATCCCTTACAATCCATACGTTGTGTTTTAATGATATGCCTTTTATCGCAATCTAATTTTCACCTGCTTCTCTTTGTATTCCTTGTGTTACTTGAAGAAACTAGATCATTTGTCCTGTCTTTTATCTCATTTTAAGATAAAGAAAAGGACAAAACTACAGTGACTTTTGAAGTAAGGAAAAAATTAGGCGTGACCTTTCTAAGCACATTTAGGATAAGTGACATCTCCAAAGAGGCCTTTACCACCATTTTAGAGAGTTGTTTGTTTTACTGTCTAATTTTACATAAAACTGGGTTAGATCTTCCTGCCACCTGTCCATCCATGTGGACATAGATGGGTCGTAGATGAATACAGGTTCTTTGTTTTTCATGAATTCCTTATGATGACTCCTCAGTGTAATAAACTGTTTGCTTAGTACTAGGATGCCTTTTCTGTAAGAGATCTGCCAATTCTTACGTTAAGTCACAACATAATATCTTATTTGGCAGCTTTGGTAACCTAAGGAACAACTCAGCCTTATGATGTCAAGAAGCTGCTTCCAATTAGTAGGAAATTCCAGCCCCTGCCACACCCTGAGAGCGGTTTGCTTCCTGCCTGTGACTTTCTGCTCAGTCTAATAACATATGTCCCCTCCTTTGTAGAACCAGCAGTGATTTCCTTTAGTAGCCAAATGAGGTTGGGGAAACAGTCAGCTGGAGCTACTTTGTTGAAAAGCAGAGAAACTAAGCTCTGTAAATGGTAAGGCTTGAAGATAGTGTTAAATACCACAAGGAAGGCACAGATAAAGATGGCATTATTTCAGCCAATCGTGTGTGTCATTTTGCCTTGTGCAGATATGCAGCCTGGCATGGCAAGAAGGATTTGAGTTCTATAAAGCCGTCTTCAGATTCCAGTTGCTCCATTTACTTGTCACACTGGGCGAGTTATTTCAGTTGTTTACTCTTCTGTAGAATGAAGCCAGGGTTCTGGGTGAGAAGTGGAAGTTGCTGAGTCATTATTCTGAACTTGAAGGATTACTGGAAGAGTTAAACCAAATGATATATGTGAAACAACTAGGATAGTGCTGGCTCATAGGAGGGTAATTAACAGATGGTGGCTCTGATGGAGTGGGGGGCCCAAGAGGTGGCATTTGAGCTGCACCTTGAACAGAGGGTTTATTATGGGAAGGTCAGTAGGAAGGACATTTTGGGTGGAGCCCAACAGCTGGAACAAAGAGAAGGGACGTCAGTGTCTATACAGAAATAATCAGTCACAGGAAAAACATATAAGGAAATGAGTAAATACAAGGCAAACTTCTTGGATGCTTTATGTCTCTGCATTTAGATACTCAGCTTAAAACATATCATTTACATGTACCTGGCAGATACCCAGCCTGTCACTGCTTTGTGTTCCCATAGTAGTGTGAACTCCCCCTGCTACAGTGTTCGTCATTTTTTCCTAAACACATCTTGGTGTTTATGGGCGGGATCTGGGCTATACTCAAGGAAATAGAAAGGTGTAATCATTATGGCCTTGAATGTTGGATTTCTTCAGAGCATAGTAAGGCATGTCAAGTACTCTATCTCTGATGTTAGTTTTATATTCACTTTCTTCAACTTTTTCTTATGAAGCTCTTTTAGTCATATACAAAAGGAACCAATAGTACAAACTTTCATGAATTCAGCATCTAGCTTCAACCATTATATTAACTTACAACCAATATAATTATTACTTCTATCAGTAATTTTATCCATAAACACTTCAGGAGGTATCTAACATGACCACATTATCATTTTCATTCTCCAGTGATAATTCTTTAATATACCCAGCCAAAATTTAAATTTCTAGTTAAATGCCTTAAAGTATTTTGTTGGTTGCAAGCTTTTTATGAAGGAGCCAGGTCATTTGTCCTGTTGAGTTTCCTATAGTCTGAATTGCTGAAATCATCTCCTTAGAGTAGTTTAATAGGTTTCTCTGTCCTCTGTATTGTCTATAAATTGGTAGCTAGATTTAGAGATTCGATCAGATTTAGTTGTCTTAAGGTAGTATTTTATTTTTCCATCAGGAAGAACATAATGAGTGGTTTATTTGTTTGAGATTTTGTTTGCTTAGTTCGGTTTGTGATGTTAGCAGCCAATCCATTAACTCACTGGGAGCCATAAAAATGGTGGTATTTTAATTCCCTATTTTTCTTTACCAGCTGGAATGATTTTCTAAGCAGAGACAGTTCCGTTTGGTTATCCAGTGTAGCAGTAGTTTTAACACTAATCCATTTGACTGTGGACATGAAGAGAAGAGCCACATCTTTCTAGACCGTGCTAACCCATTATACATCAGAGATGCTTTCTCAGATGCCATATTGAAATCTGTGTTAGTCTGTTATCACATTGCTATGGAGAAATACCTGAAACTGGGTAATTTATAAAGAAAAGAGGTTTAATTGGCTTATGGTTCTACAGGCTGCACAAGAGGTGTGATGTTGGCATCTGCTCAGCTTCAGGGGAGGCCTCAGGAAACTTCCAGTCATGGTGGAAGGCAAAAGGAGAGTGAGGTTTCTCACATGGTGGGAGCAGGAGCAAGAGAATGTGAGGAGAGGTGCTATACACTTTTAAACAATCAGATCTCACAAGAACTCACTTTCAGTAGAACAGCACCTGAGGATGCTGTTAAACTATTCATGAGAAATCCAACCTGGTGATCCAGCCACCTCCCACCAGGCCCCACCTCCAACAGTTCAAGGTGAGATTTGATGAGGACACAGATCCAAACCATATGCAAATTCATCAGTGCTTTTCAGACATGTCACTGAGTTTCTCTAGGACCTCCCTGCTAGGACTAAGACCATCTTGATAAATGCAGAGCTTGAACTCAGAGGATTCAACGTAGAATAAACAGACTTCACTAGTCAGGTTTTTCTTAGTCTGTCTGGACTGTTGTGACAAAATACCATAGCATGGATGGCTTCTGAATAACAGAAGTTTATTTTTCACATTTCTAAATGTTGGAAAGTCCAAGATAAAGGGATAGGCACACTTGGTGCCCAGTAAGAGCCCACTTTCTCACAGACAGCTGTCTTCTCACTGGAACCTCACAAGGTGGAAGGGCCCCTCGAAGAATGGCACGGGGGCCTCTTTTGTAAGGTCACTAATCCTATTCACGAGGACTCTGCCTTCATAACCTAATTGCCTCCCAAGTGTCCAACTTCCAAATACCCTACATTGAGGATTAGGTTTCCACAGATGAATTTGAGGGGGACGCAAACATTTAGACCGTAGCCAGGCTAGAACTCAGGAAGATGTTTTATGACAAGCAGTGGAATTTTAAGTTCAAGTAATCTCTGGTGCTGTTATTTCTCTAGGTTTCGGTGGACCGGGTCTTAAAGACCCTGAAAGAAAATGCTAATAAAGCCAAAAGTTTACTGCTCACTACCATACCTCAGATAGGGTCCATGGAATGGTCAGAAACCCTCCATAGCCTGAAGGTAAGTGTCAGCCCTGTGCAAGCAGGTGTGTCCATAGACCCTCCATTGCCTTCTTTTCTTACTTGCATTTCACCTTTGGTCCTCATGTGTTTTATGCCAGCTTAGATGTTCTCAAAAAGTTTTTGTGACATTTGCTACCATACCAACCACTTGTGAAATTGAGTAGTCATATTTTCTGACTGGTAATGCAAGACTATTGAAAGCTGGGGTTGAGAGAGGTTTATTATCTAGTATACCAGGTTCTTCACATTGTCCTGCTCTGTAATATATCCCAAAGTCTTCAGAAGATTGATAGTGCTTTTTCTGCATATCACTTACATTGTTGACAAAGCTTTGGCAGATCCATTCAAATTTGTGGCAACCCTTTAAAGCCAAAACTCTGACAGTAGCACCAAAATGGTGCCAGAAAATATCTGCTTAAGGTGAAACTTGCATCACACTAAAACAGTACTTAACAATAAGCTAATTAATACTAGATGTTGGAAAGCTATTATAGAAAGAATTAATACAAATCCCTAGGAGTTGCAGGATTTGTCTTTGGGCACTTTGTGACTCTTAACCACTAGGTAAAGACTTGTGTCATACTGATCAGATACTGCATTCTTCTACTATCCAAAGAGACTTCCTACCTTGAAGTCTCCTAGAATACACCTGTACTTTTGGGTCTTCTGGCAGTGGTGGAGAGAGGATTTGAAAGGTTGATCTAAGCCCTCCCTACCTGAATTACTGCCTAGGAGCTCTGGAATGAGAGAGCCACAATTTTAGTATAATGAGGACATTGTATGGTGGTAAGTGACTGACAATCACTGGGCATGGCAGAGTCTTGATTTGTAGTGTTTGCTGATTTACGTGGTACAAGTGCTCCATTATGGCCAATTTCACACTACTAATGTGAAGCCACTGATGTGTTGAGAATTGATACATACAGTCAGCTCTTGTAAGCTGATGTGAACAGGATCCAGCACACCACTGTAAATAAGGTGTCTCTCTGCAGTTAGGACTAATAGGAATGTTGGAATTTCTGTCTTCTCTAACAAGAAACAAATCTATTGGTTTCAGCACTGTATACCTAGTAGCTAAATGTTATTTAATGAATAAATGATACCCCATTTTTCCCATGAAGTGTTTTATCATAATAGGATACAGAAAACCCTTATTATTAGAATGAAAAGGGAAAAAATAATGAAAAATAATGAAAAGGGAAAAAATACACATCTGTCTGAGTGTAGTCAGATGGCACAACTGGAGCTGGCATAAAAAGCTCATGTTGGTTTGCTAGAAATGTGAACTGGAGCTTGCATAAAAAGCGCATGTTGGTTTGCTAGAAATGTGACTTATATTTGTACTGTTACTAGCAAAATGTTACAGAAGTTTATTTTTTTTAAGTCTCCCAACTGACCCCACTTTGACCATAGTCTTCAAGCTTGAAGTTAATTTCTCGAGTAATAAATTTACTGTTTAAGCTTCATTTTTAAATAAAAATGCTTGAAGGTTAGAAATCAGTGTCCTCCTTTCTTGGATCTTCTGAAATTGCGTGTAAAATTGTGTGGTTTTATTTGTATGCATTTTTTTTTTTTTTTGAGACAGAGTTTCGCTCTCGTTGCCCAGGCTGGAGTGCAATGGCGTGATCTTGGCTCACCACAACCTCTGCCTCCTGGGCTCAGGCAATTCTCCTGCCTCAGCCTCTTAAGTAGCTGGGATTACAGGCACGTGCCACCACGCCCAGCTAGTTTTTTGTATTTTTAGTAGAGACGGGGTTTCACTATGTTGACCAAGATGGTCTCGATCTCTCAACCTCGTGATCCACCCGCCTCGGCCTCCCAAAGTGCATTTTTTAAGGTTAGTTTATGTGGTTTTCATCAGATTCTCAAAGGGGGATATGATACATGTATATGACATAAAGAGAAAAAATGAAGAGTTTCTGCTTTAGTCAAAACTGAGAATGTTGGCCTTCATTGTGTAGCGTTAAGGAACACCATAACTAATAATCTCTTATTTTGTGGTAGTATTTTTAGTCCTCTAAGCACTGAAACGTTTATCATTCATTTCACTCACTAACTCATTTCAGAAACACTTAGCACTCACTATATGTCAAGGTCTGGTTTGCAAAGATACTTAAAGACTTGTGATGGTGCTCCTATGATGTTTGGAGATACAAACACATAAAAATTTCAATGATTTCTTGCAGTGGTATAAGGATAAGGGATGGAGGTTGAATAAACAATAATCCAGGCTGGGGGCTGATGTGGGAATAAGTGATTATCAGAACAATGCTCTGAGATAAGCATTATTGACCCCACTTTACACGAAAGGGAGGTGAGGAGCTGGGAGTTTAGAGTACCTAACATCTCACATCTGGTTAGTGAACTTGAAAATTATCTGGAGAGTTTATTTAAAGTGTATTTTTCCTGAGTCCTCACTTTGATCTATAAAATCAAAACCCATTTTTTTTTTTAACAAACATCTCAGTAATTACACCCACATTTGAATATCACTGCCTCCTTTCTTCCTTTCAGAATATGGCCCAGTTTTCTGTTTTATTACCAAGACATTAAAGTAGCATGACTGCCCAGGAGAAAAGAAGACATTCTAGCTCCAGTCATTTTGGGAATTCCTGCTTAACTTGAAAAAAATATGGGAAAGACAAGACATTATATGTATTAGAGACTCCTAAATGACTTGGACAACTTCAAAATACAGAAGAAAAGCAAATGACCAGTAAACATGGGAAAAAATTTTTGCATTTTAGGAAAAAGAAAACAAAAAACACACCATTTTCTTCTCCACCCTATTAAATTCGCAACAATAAAGGGTAGAGGGTAATCTCTACTTTCCTATGCTGCCAAAGAATATGAGGAAGAAATGAGACTCTGGTTATTTAGTGATGCGACTGTAAATTGGTACATTATTTCTAGAAGGCAATTTGGTAAAATGCATCAAAAGGCTTAAAAATACTGGCATACTTTGTGCTGGGAACTCTACATCTAGGAATTTGTCTTTAAAACCGTATCAGAGACACGTACAAACAATTATGTATAAAGAAAGATGTTTAATAATGATAGTGATAATAGCAAATAATTAAAACAATCTGAATACCCAGCAATTAGAGATAAATTATGTCTTAGTTATATTTAGATTGTGAATCAGCCAACTGAAAATCCTTTTTGAATATTTTAATATCCTAAAAAGACATGGTTGTTCTATATATGGAATGAAAAAATGGATATGGTAGCATTTTATAGTACTAGTTTTGCTTTAAAATGCTGTATATATATATATACCAAAAAAACTCGAAAGAAATACATATGTAACCTTGTTATTGTATTTGGGGGAGGGATACTGGGATAGTTTTTATTTTTTTTGAATCCTTCTGTGTCTTTACATTTTTCTACAATGAATATAGTTAAATAGTAAAGTTGTTGTAAAAATAAAAATGGATTTAGAAAAATCCAGTTCTTGAAAACACTGTTTTTGGTAATGAAGCAGAATTTAAGATGGTAATATTAAGATGAATGTCACTTAAGGAAGTTACATCTTTATTCTGCTCAAGAAAAGAATCATTGATTTCTGTAGTCACAACAGTACTTGGGTTTGCAACAGCTTTCTGAGAAAAACTAAGTGTTTAATAGTAAAGTAGTCTAAAAGTTAAACTATTTAAAAGACTTAATGCACATATTATGGTTCTGATATTTTTTAAAGTAATGCTTGATTCTATTTTTTATGAGTTAAAATATTTTACATGAGTTAATTTTTGCTTTTTAATAAAAAAGAGTGGAAGCTTGCTTTTTAAACTCTTTTTTATTGTTACTTTTATAGAAGTGCTTTTTGTTTTCTTCAGTTTATCATGGGGAGATCTTTTTCCTCAGAATTATTTTCTTTTCACTGTAAACTATTACAGCATACTTTAGGATCGGGATACAGAACCTTTTATTTAAAGAGTTTGTAAAGTCAATGTGTTTGTGTTTGTGAGACTGGCTTCAAGATAATAAGCCGCTAATTGTAAACAAAACAGTTACCATCCAGTATTAATCTGAGTCATTAGTGTGAGCCATTTGGGTCAAGTATGATTATGACCCTTGGATTCCCTGATGTAGTATTAAATTTCAGTTCTGATTGTCGATTACTGATCCATAAAGAACTTAATGAACCTGAACCCAGGCTTCGCTAGTGCTGTAACCTGTGATTGTTTTCACTACAGTATGATATATATGTAGATGGTACCTTACTTTCCCTCATTCTTAGTGGGTGTCTAAGAATGTCAGGGCAAAAACATGGTCATTTTTCTTGTGTTCAGAAAGTATAGTTTTCTCCATCTTGCAGAGGTACTTTTCTTGATTAAATAGCCTTCCCTAGCAACATCATTTTCAGACTAATCATATGAATGCAGTATACCCTTTTCTTTGTTCCCAATCATTCATTCCTTATACAAAGCCAATATAATTTTCCTCATACCTACGCTTGAGGATATTGTTGAACAACACTTCGTAGAACACTTCTCACTTGTGATGCTATGCTACTTTTTTTTTTAAAGCTAGTAAATTGAGGGAACACCATGGTTAGTTGTGAGCATTTTGGTTTCCCCAAAGGATAGATAGTGAGCATCATGAGAAAGCTGTAGTTTAGTGACTTAGCCACTTACTGATTAATAGATTTGCATGTACGTAGAAGTCTTTGTTGGCATTATGATTTGCTGTTGTGTTTGCCATTGAATTTCATGGTTTTGAGAATGACAGCCTGGCCCTGTGGTCCCCAAGGGTCACAATCCTTGTGACCTAGCCCCTGTTCACTGCCCCCTTGGCTGGCACAAGTCACTGTGCCGGGCCGGAAGTAGCTACCATGGCTTGTATCAAGGAAGAAAGCTCCGGGACAGCGGCGCCCTCATGAGCGGAGGATGGTGAACTTCCCTGAATAGGGATTGACTGTGGTGACCTCCTAACTGCTCCCAGCCAGCCGTCCTGCAGGTGCCATGTGAGCCCGCTCTGGCATCTTCAGGATGCTCCTGGAGCCTCTCCTCTGGCTGTTCCCTCAGAGGCATGGTTGTGGCCACACCAACACCTATTTTCCAAGTAAATAATTGTTCATTCTTGTGACAGTAGCCTGAACATGTTTTGAATCTTCTCAACAGGCATTTAGCCAGCACTTATCCAGTGAAACAACCTGATAAGGCTTCGAGGAGCATCTGCTAGGTTAGGAAAGTCATAGACTGAGGAGTCTGTGCCGCATTTGCAGAGTCCCTCCTTGATATGGTTTGGCCGAGCCTCCACTCAAATATCATCTTGAATTGTAGTTCCTATAATCCCCATGTGTTACGAGAGGGACCCAATGGGAGTTAATTAAATCATAGGAGTGGTTACCCCATGCTGCTGTTCTTGTGATAGCTCTCACAAGACTTGATGGTTTCATAAGGAGCTTTTCCCTCTTTTGGCACTTATTCCTGCCATCATATGAAGAAGGACATGTTTGTTTCCCCTTCGGCCATGATTGTAAGTTTCCTGAGGTATTCCCAGCTGTGTGGAACTCTGAGTCAATTAAACCTCTTTCCTTTATAAATTACCCAGTCTTGGGCAGTCCTTTAAAGCAGCCTGAGAATGGACTAATACACTCCTCAAATGTTTTGAAGATTGTTGCACCTTGGAACTACCAGTGTGCACAGAATCCTGCTCAGGGAATGTGTTGGCCCAGCCAGGCAAAGAACTGAAGTTTCAAGATGGAAGAACCTATGTTGTCCTCATAATAACATAAAATAATTGAAGATAGGCAAGAAGAACAGCAGTGAATGAAGACCATGGAAGAAAAGAAGAAATGCCAAAGATTCAGGAAATCTACCAAGACTAGGAGGGTAGTCCAGAGGAAGCTGTTTCAGGGCCTGTTTGCCAGCTATGCCTTTGAGAACCTGGGGATCTCGAAGAATTAGGGGAATTTCTTCAGAAAGGCAGTCTAAGCATGCATTATTTCTTTGTTTTGGAGATTCGCTCATGTTGTTTCATGCATCTGTAGCTTGTGCCTTTTTGTTGCCTAGTAGTATTCTGTCATATGTCTGTCTTACAGTTTGATTATTCACCTGTTGATGAATGTTTGAATTGTTTCCATCTGAGGAATTTTATGAATAAAGCTGCTATAAGCATGAAATTACAAGTCTTTTGGTGAACCTATTTCTACTTGTGCAAATGCCTACACTGCTACCAGTAATTTATATGAGTTCCAGTTGTACAGTATTCTTGCCAAAGCTTGGTATTGTCAGTGTTTTTCATTTTAGCCATTCTATTGGCTCTATTTTGATATCTCATTGTGGTTCTGATATGCATTTTTCTGATCAAAGACATTGAACTTCTTTTAATATGCTTATTGGCCATTCATATATTTTGTGAACTAGCTGTACAGATATTTTTGTTCATTAAAAAAATAGGTTTTGTTTTATTATTGAATTGTAAGAACTGTTTATATATTCTGGATACAAACTCTTTCAGATATATGTACTATGACTATTCTAAGTCTTTAGCTTGCCTTTTCATTTTCTTAATGGTGTCTTTGAAATAACAAGTTTTTCATTTTCATGAAGCCTAGTTTATCAGTGTTTTTATGGCTGGTGCTTTTTGTGTGTTCCAAGCAATCTTTGCCTGCTCATTGAAATACCTTTGTGCCTTTGTCAAAGTCAATTTACCAAGTATCTGTGGATCTGGATGATCTATTTATGTCATTGATCTATGTGTCTCTTATGCCAGTAACCCACTGTCTTGATTATTGTGGCTTTATAGTGTCTTGAAATTAAGTATTGTTAATCTCTGTAGTCTTTTTCAAGATTGTTTTGGCTATCAGGTTCTTTCCTTTTAAAGTTTATATTAAGCTTGTCAATTTTTCTTTAAGAAAATTTCCGGAATTGCTGTTGGGATTGCACTGAATTTTTAGGTCAATTTGGAAAGAATTGACAATACTGAATCTTTCAGTCCATGGACGTGGTATGTTTCTTCATTTATTTGGGTCTTTTAAAATTTATCTCAGCAATGTTTTGTAGTTTTAGAGAATAAGTCTTGTATATCTTTTGTTAAATGCATTCCAAAATATTTTGTGGTAATGTTATTGTAAATGGTACTTTAATTTTTAAGTGTATTGCTGGTATACAGAAATACTTTTTATTTTTATATATTGACTTTGTATTCTGTAATCTTATTAAACTCGCTTAGTTCAGTACTTGTTCTTACTTACATTTTATTGCAAGTGACTTAGGGATACCTTGTGTACACAATCATGTCACACATGAATAAGAACAGTTTACAGTTTACTTCTTCTTTCCAGTTTTTACATTTTGTTTCTTCTTGCCTTGTTGTATTGGCTAGGACCTTCAACCTAATGTTGAATAGACATGGTATGATGAGCCTTTATTCTTACCTTATTCTCAAAGCATCTAGTTTTTCACTATTAAAATATGTTATCTATAGGTTTTTTCCATTTCATGTTTTTATCAGATTGAAGATCCCTTTTATTCCTATTTTGCCAAGAGTGTCATGAATGATGTTGAATTTCACCAAATACTTTTTCCTGGATCTATTGAGAGAATCTTGATTTTTCTCTTTTATTTTGTTAATGTAGATTCTTTACTGATCTTGCATTTCTGGCATAAACCCTACTTAGTAATGAAATGTTATCCTTTTTATATGATGCTGGATTTGGTTTGCAAATATTTTGTTTGATTTTTACATCTATGCTCATGAGAAAAATTGGTCTGTGATTTTCCTTGTAAGTCTTGTCAGGTCTCGGGGCTTGTTTAATTTTGATACATTTATAAATATATACATTTTTAACATAAAAATAAACATCTTATTTTTTTTAAGACAATGACAGCTTGAATTGTTTATATACAGAATGTTAATCAAAAGATTGAAAAAGGCAGGGACAGAAAGTTACATTTGATACCTAAAAATACTTTGCAGATATAAGTGCATCTTGGAACTGTTTGTTACTTGGGAATGGCTAAGATTCTCAGTCTCGTAGAATATTCTAAATAAACCAAGATACATCAGTTCAAATAAGTAATGTGCAGTTGTCAAAAATAATATCTTTTATGCACCAGTATGGAACAATGTTCATGATAAAAGTGGAAATCAAAAATATATACAGTAAAATGAGTATAAGTTTGTGTTGATGTATAGATAGGATGTTTATGTTTCCAGAAAGCTTCTGGAAAGAAATTAATTGATAGCTTCTGAGGGATGCTTGAAGAGACTAAAACTGTTTACTACATACCTGTCTATAGTTGAACTTTTCACCATAGGCAACTGTTTCTTTAATTTATGTGGTTTAAGGAGTGGATACTAGAGAAGACCTAACTTCATAGCAGTTCATATAACATGATATAAAATATCTGATTCTTGGCATTAACTTTTGATAGGTTATGCTTGGGGCACTGTATCCAGTTCCGGGCACAATGCTCTCAGGAGGATGACTATCTAAAAAGCACCAAGAGAAGGGTGAGGGGACTGGGAAAACCATGCCAACATATGTAATAGTTAAACTGATTGAGTATATCTAACTATTTAAGAGAAAACTTAGAATGAGAACTTTATTTAAGGGCTGTCATTCTCTTACAGACATGTGCCTCCCTCACTATTCTGTAAGCTTTTGTAAAGACAGGAAGTTGTGGGTTTTTTTTTTAAACTCATCTGTTTAGGAGCCTCTTTTCCTTGTATTTAGCACAAGCTCAACAAATATTTGTATAAATAAAAATCAACTCTCAAACATCTCCCCATTTTCACTTTCAGCAGGTGACTTTAATTCCCTCTTCATGGACAGA